TTTAGACCAGAATGATCGTTCAGTCTGAGCCTGTGAAATATTCGGGGACAGTTGCCTGCGTGTGTTTTTTAGTGGTTTTAAGCAGAACGAAAGTTTCCAGCTGAATCAAAAGGCTCAACGGATCTACTGTGGTTACCTTTCAGTGAGTTTTATATAATATGTTTTACATTGTAAAATTTTTATCAATAGGATGCTATTTTACAGATGAGCCCAAAGATTTGTGTTTGATGGGAAGGCCCTATATCCTTCTGAGAATAAGCTGTCACGAACATGTACAAATATAGCTTCATCTCTACTGGGTGAAATGTAGCTATCTTCTGTTAGCTAAGGCTGCTGACCAGCTACTGATTAAATAGGTTTTGTCAGAAAATTTTTTGGATCCTTCTGGAAGTAAATGTCATTTCTTCCACTATTTTAATCTGGCTTTTAATGATAACATGATTATTGTTGTTTTCAAATGGATCGTGATGAAGGGGATTTAATCTGCACTGAGCTAGATTAAACCTACATTAAATCACAAAATGCACAATCTGTATGGTATTCTGGTTGGATGCAGTATGCCACTAGTTAACACCAACCATGCTGTAGCTCTTCTTTTGGCGCTTATATTGGAGCTTTAATCTTAATTATTCACATCTCTGCTGGGAAAACCTCACCTCTAGCCTCTAACAGTGTCACAGGCCTGGCTGTGAGGTGCAGTGGTTTCTAAATGTGAACCGTCACCGAACTGGAACTGTCTGCTTTACTTTAGATTAGTCCCTTCTAGTCTTCTATGGTGGATGGATGTTTTCCAGTATAATGCTTAATTATTGAGTCTGTCATGGAAGTATCTGAGTATGTTGTGTTACATTTGTGCCAACATATGTGCAACTCGTAAGAAAACGTTTTCTAGTTTTGGATAGATTTTTTTTTTTTTTTTTTTTAAATCGCATTTGGATCAAAGACAAGAGATCATGGTCTCCCTTCTCGGACTATACCAAGTGTTTACACTAGACTGTTGCTATTAATTTTGTTTTTAATTTGATTTTACATTTATGGGACTAGTATTCTTTACCAAAATCTAACATTTTCTGCTCCAGTCGTGGTTTGAAAAGTTTTGTACTAGAATCTTGTGCGCTTGTATGACCTAACTAGGCTGTGTGTTCTGAAAGTGAACTCGCCTTGTTCAACTAAAACTCCCAGAGCAATGTTAAATGTCCTCACTTAACAGCTGTGAATCCAGGAGAGGTTAGATTAATTAACAGGATCTGGCCTTTCTTCCACATGACCTGTTGTACAATCTGATACCCAGAGCTGCCAGCCGCTTGCATAATCACTTAGTGTTTTTTGTCTTCACTCAGCTGTCCATCCTTTCCATTGAGTGGTTGATGACTAATGTGTTGTAACATTGTAAATGAGTCAGAGCAGTGTGTGGTTCTGTTAAATCAGTTAACCCTCTGCTGTCTGCAGTAGAAACAGGAGCAGGTTTTTGATCATTCGCGCTTCTGTTACAAGAAACAAGGTCTTATTAAAAGGCGTCCATGGCAGATGTCCCACAGTGATTCACTCATCATGTTTAAACCAAGTTTGTGTCGGTAACAGTGATGAATGTTTCAGAGACCTAAAGGCTTGTTCCTGTCGGGTCATTAGCAGGGTGGGATCGGGTCACCCTGTTCACTGAGGTCTTCTACTCCTATGTGATTGGTGTTATCCATCATAGAGTATCAGGAGGTTATACATATGTTTTATATTTGTTTGAAAATATTCAGCAAGTGTACAGAGACATGAGTTGTGTCAGAGGACAGTTTTATAAAAAAGACCAAAGAAATGTCCCGACCTAATCAGGATCAGACTGAAGTCCAAACCACTTTGTTTCTTGTACCCATTGACATTAGGGTCACTTACAACAAGTACAGAAATATATTTGTTCTTTGAACACTAGCTGTGTTGTTTAATAATATTATTATGCAGGTATGAGATCAGCCCTTCTGCCTTTCTGTTTTTTGTTTCACTGAATATATTTTGATACCAAGATGTCAGCTTTTAAGCAATCTATAAATTCATATGTATGCCACTATCATGTTCTTTTAAGCCTACTTTTAAATAACTGAATATTTATCAGAAATAAGTTGTATACATAACAACAGTAATTTAAAGGTTGTCAATTCTGTCAGTGTTTTAGTCCACTATATGTTGAAAATCACAAACAAAATGTCTTTTTTTGTCAAATGAAAGCAGAAAAATCTGATTTCTTGATTACTGGTAATTGTGACAGTCCTGAATGACTGAGAGTCAAGAAAAGCCACTTGTTTAGTGTTATTTACACGCTCCTTCTAGCTCATAAATGATGTTTAGTGTCATGATGGGACAGGATGGTCATTGTGATGAGTCTATAAGCTGGTTATGTTCTGCTGCAGGGTGTTATAAAACGCTCCCTGAGGCTGCTACCTGTCTGACAAGAAAACAGAGACTTGTTTAACAGATACTGTTGGTGATATCACATCACAGTCAAATGAGAACGCTCCAGTCATGTATGCTAACAGGGAGGGGCATATTTATAAGCAAACTTAACACAAAGGTTGTTTAAACTGACAGACCAAAAGTTACTTAAAACAGCTCAAACTGCGTGTTGTTGGTGATTCAGTCATCAAACTTATGACACATTTTTGCACTGCCCGTCTGCTGACATGTTGGTGGTTTGGCTGACGTCACACCAGGCGTCATCTCACGGCTGAATGTTTGTTTGTTTATTTGTCTTTCTGATGTCTATTAGCAGTGGAGGTGATGCTCTTATACAAGTCACAGTATATTTGCATGTTTCTGCGGCACTTCCTGGTGAGACCTCATGAAATAATAGTCCACAGAGATGTGTCTGAACATGTTGCACCAGCAGCACAGCAGAAAAACACACCCTGCACACAACGTGAACACTTTGGCATATCAGGAACAGTCCTCCATGAGGGAGTGCTGCATTCCCCAGAAAAATCTGTTCAGACAAATCCCATTCCTCTGACACCAGAGAGCACACACTGTAAAACACCCGCTTGATTCAGATGTTTCTGTTGGAATAGATTCTTTATTTAATGCAACTAGGAGTCAGGTGGGTCATGTTGAAGAATATCCTTTTTAACTTCTCTGACACCTACGGCCCAATGAGTCTTATGTAAATGAGCATTCAGGCTTTAAAAACAAACACAGAACACATTAAATCTGAACTTTGGTCATTTATGTAATGCATAAAATCCCATGTGCTGTAATTTCCCTCCATGCTTTGGTTTGCTGAAGTGTCTGTTGCATGTTGAGAGCCCGCTGCTCCATGCTAGCCGCCGTGCGGGGGAGCCTTGGCCCCGCCCTGCTGGGTGCCAGGTGCCAGATGACGTACAGAGAAATCAATGATGTTCCATCAGAACTGCTGTTAAACTCTTTCTGCTATGAGATGGTGTGTTCACACACGTGAGCGGGAGTAATGGGATTATGTAAGGTGGTGTCGGGTTTCTGTGGAGGGGGGTGGTACTAGCTGGACTCCATTACCGTGTTTAGGACGTGTTTAGGAAGAAAGCAACCTCAGCACTTAAACATGTCAGTTTTGAAGTCATTTCCCAGAATCCCTTCATGTGTGAGCAAAATAGATGAAAATCTATTTATGTCTCTCATAAAATGATGCTGGACGTCCACTAAGGAGTGGTGAATTGAAACGTACTTGCATTTGACAGATTTAGCTAGCATTCTTGATTGTCTCTGTCCACAAACTGAGCAGCTTCACATCAACCAACTTTTAAAGGATTTCTGTATTTGCTCAAATTTTTTCCACACATTAGTTACAGCAGGTTCTTACAGTCATGTCAGGAAGAGAAATGAAGGTCTGTAGCCACTGCTAGCATGCCGGTCTCATGCTAGCAGTGAGACCGGCATGCTAGCATGCAGTGAGACTATCTAGTTGTTTCTGAGACAACTAGATAGAGCTCTAGTGTTCAGGCTCTTTGACTGTTTCCCTAGCTCCATCCAACTAAACCTTGTCTGTCTGTTTGTCTAGGTACTGATATCTCAGTGGGAGAAGAGGTGGCCATCAAGCTGGAATGTGTGAAGACTAAACACCCACAACTCCACATCGAAAGCAAGATCTACAAGATGATGCAAGGCGGAGGTATCACACTCCCAAAACCACCACATACATACTCGTCCATCACCAAATGTATCAATATTGCAGTTGCATAACAGCTCACACTAACTCCGTCATCACTTCCAAAGAAGATATTTGGCTCGTCAAACTTAGTAAACTAGTTTCAGAGAAGAAAAGTGATGAGCAGTCGGCCAACCCAGGGATCGAAACTTTTCCATCCCCCTTCACAAACCTGCAGGCAGTTCTACAAAATATGTAAAGAAACATCAGCTTTTACAATGTCTTTTTACTTCTCTATTCAGTAATTCTTAGATTAGTTCAGCACATTTGTTCTGATTGTAGTTGGCTGAGTTGATAAGGTTTCCTGCAGCAGAGTGCCCCACATCAGGCCTACTGGACGGATCCTTTTCTCTGGTCAGAAACTTGTTCATCTACAGTTACTACACTACTCTAACGAGCAAAACAACTTAGTACATTTGACTGGTAACTAATCAGAAAGATGAAAATTGCAAATAACATTTCAATAAATTATTTTAACATATTTTACATATTTTCTATTTAAATTCAAAAATGCTTTATTGATTCCAAAGGGAAATTAAATGCTGTTGTAAATCATTAATTCTTCAAAGTGTTATGATAATATTAAAATAATAATTGAAATAATGAAAAAAGATAAGATTTTATGATTTTTTTTTCTAAATCAAAAATTTATTAGGTTTATTTTTTACGTTTTTATTCCTCATCTCTAACTTTGAGTCCTCCTAGCGCCCCCCAGTGGCCACCCAGGGGTCATGAACTCCCACTTTGAAAGTCACTGGCCTAACCACTTCAGCTCATGTAGAAGATTTGAATGACCTGGCTGGTTTTACTCGGCAGAAAAAGTGACTTTCTTTGTCTCTAGTTGAGCTAAAGATTCTTTAAATGGTAATTAACCCTCTTAAGACCATAATTGTAACTGGGCCGCCTGGTATTTTTTTGATTTTATGGCTGTAAAATTCTCAAACAATGTGCAATGAGTCTGAATTTTTCCTCTTTTTTCCAGAACAACCTCAGCTTTCAGTATTTGATGGTTATTTAACATTTCTGTTCACAATTTCAAAAATTGTGAACAAACAGTTTAAAGAGAAAAAAAACAAAAATCGGAATTGAAATTTTCAGGTTTATTGCTGAACAAAAACTTTCTGATGACAGGGGCAAACAATTTCAGATGAACAATTTCAACTTTCCACTATATTACATAAATGCTGAGAAAACTGTGAAGCCTGGCCTCCAATTTACAAGTTTTTATGCCTGTTTTTTATTAAATTATTTCAGGCGTTTTCACTTTTTGTGGTAGGCTCTAAAGCAGTTCCTCCCCAGCTACAGACAAAATCCCACTCTGGATCCATCCATACTTTATCTATCACACTTCAGGCTGAGAGGGTGCTGGTACCCATCTCCAGTGGTCAGGAGCAAGAGGCAGGGGACACACTGGACAGGTCACCAATCCCTCACTTGGCTGATTTGTTGTTTTTTTTCACAATTCATCTTTTGGCAGAAAAAAAAAGTGGTGGTGATTTTTCTTTTTTTCTTTTTGCCAAAATCACGTTATGTAAAAATATTACTTAGGACATTATTTCTGGAAGACCACGATTTTATTTTCAGTATAATAAATAGTTATTGCACAAATTATGCAGGAATCAAGATGGAGCTAACAGTTAGCCAATGGTTTGTGCAGCGTTCATATGACTAACGTTAGCTTGTACAAATATTTTACGCAACCTGGTTCGCTGGTTATATGTCTCTCATGTTCACTGCCTTCAGATATCAGCCTTCTAGGACCATTTATCAGTCTGGTGGATTTTCTTTTAGACATTTCCATAATTTTATGCCCGATTTCAACTCGTCCTCTGCCGTCTTCTCTCTCTCTCGCACCGCTAATCCGTTGACACGTTACGAAGCTCCGCAGGGAAATTCCGTAATGAAAATATTTACTCTAATATCTGCTGCAACATGCACATGTGATGCAGCTTATTTTATGCACTTTCTGATACTTTCGGAATTTTTTGAATGCGGCCAACTGTTCAGGAGTTACGATACAGAGTAGGTTGGGTGACAATTATGACACAACGGAGAATCTTTCTTGTGATTGGTCAAGCTCATATCACAACTTTCCCAGGTGGCTACCGTAATGTATCATATATGCCCTGAAAGCGCAATGTCTCAGCTTTTCTGCACTTTTGGAATTTTTTTGATATGTTGAACGGTTCAGAAATTACGGTAATGGAAAGTACACAAGCCGAATCCTGTCGACGCCGACAGGTTGGTCGTAAGAGGGTTAATAAAAACATTCACACAGAAAATACTTTTCTACCAAACTGCACCAGATCAGAAGTTATTTTGAAGTTATTTAGTGGGAAAGAAAATCATCTTTCATAATCTAGTTATCAAGTTTTCAGATTAGCTACAACCAATCACAGCCAAGAAATTATTTGAAGAATTCCCAGGATTAATGAAATAAATGAGCACAAATGGTGAGTCTGTATTTTCCATAATATAAATGCATGTTCTACTCCAACTAAATACTAAAATGATGAGTGAGATGTTTAGAATTAACTGTATTACCTGGTTTCCTCCCGACCCCACTGAGGGACAAGGGTGTTCAGAAAATGGATGGATGGATGTATTACCTGGTTTGTTCAAGCATATTACTTATTCTATTCAAACCACAGAAGTAGCTATTAAAACAACTTGTCTTGGTTTTGTTGACCCTTGATGCTGAAATCTAAACGAACGTGTCAACAGATTCCTCAAACTGAACATTTGATACTGTTTAGTGGTTCCTTTCTATCAGAATACCAGATAATTACCTTTCCCTGTACTTTCAGTGGGGATTCCAACAATAAAGTGGTGTGGTGCTGAGGGAGACTACAATGTGATGGTGATGGAGCTGCTGGGGCCCAGTCTGGAGGACCTGTTCAACTTCTGCTCTCGGAAGTTCAGTCTGAAGACCGTCCTCCTGCTTGCTGACCAGATGGTGAGAGAAAGTGCTCTGACCTTTACTAAGAGCCTTAGATTTTCTCAGTTATGTAGTGTGTTGGGTGGAAAGCTGCAGATGAAAGACTTGAAGGTGTCTTCAGGTCTGTTTCCTGCTGTCTGTCCTGTGGTGTTTAGTTAACGTGAATCTGACTTGCCTTTCTAGATCAGCCGGATTGAATACATCCACTCCAAGAACTTCATCCACCGAGACGTGAAGCCGGACAACTTCCTGATGGGGCTGGGCAAGAAGGGCAACCTGGTCTACATCATCGACTTCGGTCTGGCTAAGAAATACCGCGACGCTCGCACGCACCAGCACATCCCCTACCGCGAAAACAAGAACCTGACCGGCACCGCCCGCTACGCCTCCATTAACACACACCTCGGCATTGGTGAGACATGTGGTGATGGCTGCTGATGTCGCTGCAGTGCGCTACCCCCTGCTGATCCCACCTTGTCTCTGTCTTCAGAACAATCCAGACGGGATGACTTGGAGTCTCTGGGCTACGTCCTGATGTACTTCAATCTGGGCTCTCTTCCCTGGCAAGGCCTCAAAGCTGCCACCAAGAGGCAGAAGTACGAACGCATCAGTGAGAAGAAGATGTCCACCCCCATTGAGGTCTTGTGTAAAGGCTACCCCTGTAAGCTAAGCTGCTAACATGCCTTTCAGGGCTTTTCTTATTACCATAACCACAGAAGTGCCTGATGTCCTGATCTTTCTCTCTCCACTTTAGCTGAGTTTGCCACATACTTGAACTTTTGCCGCTCTCTGCGCTTTGACGACAAGCCCGACTACTCCTACCTCCGCCAGCTCTTCAGGAACCTCTTCCACAGACAGGGCTTCTCCTACGACTATGTCTTTGATTGGAACATGCTCAAATTTGTAAGTTGTGTTGACACACAGTTGAAATTCAGTCCAAAATAAATGATGTTGTTTATTTTGTCAGTTGTTGTTTTAAAGCGAGGCAGTATGATGTCAAATCAACCTTTTTGACCTTTGTGTCATGTTTTAATATTTCCTCATAAAAAACATTGCTGGAGTGTTAAAGGGTTGATAGAGGAGCCAGGTTGTGACGACTTCCTGAAGGCAGAGTTTCAGAAAGAGCAAGGGTTTTTAAAGAGACAGACGCTCAATTTTATTGTGGTAAATTATAAAGTCAGATTTCTTTTAAGTCATATTTGATATGTACAAAATTTTTATAACAACTGACAGTAACATAAATGGGATTATGCATCTGGAAAACATCTAATCCTGCCCCTTTAATAATCAATGTACTTGAATCATTCATTGATTTGTTACAGCCATATCTGCAAGAGTAAAGGAAAGAATTGCATAATAAAAATGCAATAATCTGTTCAGTGATCTAATATCCTGTTTTGGTGTAAAGCTGAAGTAACATTAGTTCCTTTCCAGCTCTGCATGTGGGCTCCCCAACCAGATTAAATACAGGCTAACTGTTGCTATAGAAACAGCTGCGCTACCTGGTGGTGACTGTGGGGATGTGTTGTGTCAGGGTGCCAACAGGGCCGTGGAAGACGCTGAGAGGGAGCGCCGGGAGCGCGAGGAGAGACTGAGGCACAGCAGGAACCCCGGGGCCAGAGGCATGGCTTCTGCTTCAGGCAGAGCAAGGGCAGCTCAGGACGCCGCAGTCCCCTCCCCACTCAACCCTGCTTCACACACAGGTCAGAGCGCCGCCTGTCCATCTTTCACAGCCTTTCCAGGCCGAAGACGGCTTCAGAAGAACTACATGGTGACTGACACTTGGCTCTCTTTGTTATTTAGGTATGGAGAAGGAGAGGAAGGTGAGCATGCGTCTTCATCGTGGAGCACCTGTCAACATCTCCTCATCAGACCTGACTGGACGTCAGGACACGTCACGTATGTCCACCTCACAGGTACTTCCCTCAGTAGACGTATTGTCTCAGTAGACATATTAACTCAGTAAAGAGTTAATATGTCAGAATCAAGTCAGTGAAAAGAAGAGTGGAGATGAGAGGAAACACGAGTTCATCCACCGCAAAGAGGAAGCAGCAACAGAGAACAGAACATTGTGTCAGAACTTCCCTTTTCTTTTGTCCCACATCATGTTTTTTCTACTTAACCAATCAGAACGACTAGGAAACCACAGCAGTTCAGTAGCCGGTGGCATTCTGCCAAGTTCTGGACTGTTAGTTTGTTCTCCTTTATAGCTTCAGCCTCCACCATTCTTCTTAAAGCACAGCTGTAACATTCAGTCAGTGAGCAGAGCTGTGCTGCTCACTGACCAGTCCTGACTGGTGAAGCGTCAGGACTTTATACGCTAGATTACATTTTCCCTCAGGTTTGACCAGGATGCTGTTTATATTTATAAAAGCAAATGGGTTAAAAGGCTACAATCACTGGAAACCTATTAAAATCTCTTTTAAATCATATAAAATTAAAACCAATCTGATTGTTTCAGACAGTATAGCTGTGCTAAAGAGGAAAAAAATATGGAATATGGATATAAAATGCTTTGTGTAGGAACATTAAAGGGACTAAGTTGATACAGCAGGCTTAGTTGGCTCATTCTATTTATTTCTGTAGTGATGTGAAGCTGCAGATTCAGAAACATTTTGTACATTTCTTTATTAATTTTAACTTGAAATATGAAATAAATCTGAAAGAATAGGTATTAGAAACGTTGGCTGAAGTCGATTTTCATTTTTCAGATTTCCATATTTTACAAAGTGAAAGTATCTAATCATGTGGTTAATGTATGACATTTAAAGTCTATTGGGATTCATCAAATGTCTTATGTCAGGACTCTTAACTTTACTTTTTAAAACATATTCTTTTAGTAAAATCTGAGTGTCCATGATTCAATGGAGAATAAGGCAGCCACTTTGTAAAATGAAAATTCTTCACATATGAAGTTAAACTTGAAAGTTGAAATGTAATATCTGCTCTGTTTTTGTTGATTCTTTTCAGAACATGTCTTTCATCTATTCATGTGTGACAAAATGTAGACAAAGCAAACTGCGTTCTAGTTCTGACTGTGTGTGTTCTGCTGGGCTCCATCGGGTCTTTCCCTCTCGGCCTAGAACACACTCTTCCTGCTGCTCAGTGTTAAGATCAGTCTGCAGGGATTCCCCCCTAGATTTGCTGTGAAGCATCATATTCCATGTTTTCCGTATGTCCAGTCCCTGTAGCTGCAGCGTAATCTGCTGTATGTGATTCCACATAGAATGTTCAGTTCTCTCTGACTTCTACTTACTGCAGGTGTTTATTCCTTAGAGCTACTTTACAGAACCCCGCTTTATAAATCCCAGCCACTCTTTTGGGCGAAAATGCCCAGTGGATTTTTTTTTTTTTTTTACAATATAAAACCTAAAAGTGTTTAACTAGTCATTAACAAATCTGCTCCTGATTGTATTTTAGGTTCCAGGTGTTTATGAGCTGCTGATGTGTTTAATCTTCCTGTTTCCAGGCTCTGTCCCGGGTTACACCAAGCGGCCTCCAGTCTGCAGCTCCGCGGTGAAACAGCCCTACATCCTCTGAGGACGCCTCGACATGCATCACCTGCAGCACACACACTCTCTCACACACATATTCACATAGATTACCAGGACTCTCAAACGACCCAGAACTGCTCACCAATGCACCAGGCTCTGCCTGCGCATCTATTCACTTCTCAGGAGAAGAGATGCACAGTCAGCAGGTTGTGTATGTGTGTGTGTGAGAGAGGGAGAGAGAGACGGGCAGGTGGAGACCAGTTTGGTTGCCTTAACAACCATCTTGGTGAAGTTGAAGCCACAGCAACCCTTCTTCCTTGCTCGTGGAAGATGTGAAAACTCCTCCTCCTCCCTGCTGTTGATGAAGCCATTGATTCACTTTTCTCTGGCCTAATGTTTTTTTTTTCTCTCAACTTTTGATTTTACTTGTTTTTAATCTTTTTAGCAGAAAAAAACATCAACACCAGCAGATCTGCATGAAAACGGGGAATGCAGCGTTTGTTCAATGTTAACCTGTTGGATTTACTTTGATTTTGGTCAGATGGAGAGTCGCTCCATCATGGCAGTGTTTGAGCACAGTGCCTAAACTCTGTGTCGTGTAAAATACTTTGAACCCCGTAGTCCACACCTCCTTATTTACTTCTTTTGATGTGAATGAGACGTTTAGATAGAATAAGATGGGGGGTGGGGGTAAGGAGGCTGTTGTACGAGTTGTGTCCATGTCCTCAGGTCTGTTGGAATATGGTAAACATGCAGCACATTTAGTTAGTGTTCAGGTTGTGAATGGCGTGGGAAAAGCTGTGAATGGAAGAGTGAGTCAGGAGCTCAGTCTGTCCACACCAAACTTCTTTCTTTCTAACACTAGTGCATAGTGACGTGGCTTTCGTGTGTATTTGTGTGGTTGTGTCCTAGGGGTTTCCATGCTCACAGGTGGGATAAACATGTCGATTTCTTTTTATATAAAAATATATATGAAAGTAAACATTTTTGTAAGCTTTTACGTCCACAGCATCTTCAGCCTGATCCTTGGACCTCGTGTCCCTCTGCTTCCACCCTGAGTCCGAACACCTTTTTTCATTTCTCCAAAGCACAGCTTGTCCATTTTCTAGATAAACTCCACCATCAGAAGCGGTCTGAAAGGACAGTTTGTCGAGACTTTGTACCCTTGTTTTCACTCTGCTGTAGCTGATCTTATAGAACCTTTAAACAGTGCAATGTGTTGGGAAAAGTATGAGAAATATGAACCAACGGATCTTTTCTCCCTGTTTTCAGGATCTGATGGAGGAACAGTTTTAGTTGCTAATGTCCAACTAAATTAATTTGAAGTTCTTGTAAAAAACAGTTTTAGTCTGTGATGCTACTAACCAAC